CTTTTACCCCATTTCCCGTACGTGCGTGTCTGCTGTCACCCGAAAAGCCACTGACTCTTTTATTATTATTATTTTTTTCTTTGGACCAGTCTGATTTTTCTTGGTCAGGTTTGGGTGGAATTTAAACTACACCGCATTTCCTCGCCAATGATGCAGACGACGTAGTTAGTCTACGCCTCAGGTACCACTACCTGCCTGAACACTGGACACACGGGACAGTCTAGCCCTCTTTCGGAGAAGCGGGAACATCCCGTGACTGTCGGGGTAGGCTAAACCCAGTCGGGCATCGCGCTGTCATCCCATCTACTCGGACCTCCGCCTCACTGGGTATCGACATGGGCGGTTAGACTAAGCATCTCTCTGGTTTCTCTCTCTCTTGTCGTCGTCACTTTACCTCCTCTTACCTCCTCTCGCATCGCTGCCCTTCTTTACCGCCATTTCATCCTCTTTCTCCTGGTATGTGCTATCCGTCTTTCCCATTTGTCGGCTCTTTTTTTGTCACTTAGCACTTGGTCCTTCATGTCTTGTGTTCGCCGCCCCCCCTCATCTAAACACACCCCTGTTTGAAGTTGGCTCCCAGTTTACCTCGTGTTTCCTGCTTACGTCGTCGGTTTAGGCTACCTCCTTCCGAACTTTTTCGCCATCTGTATTGCCGGCCTGAGCCGCCCCTTGCGAACAGAAATCCGGCGCCCTCAACAATCGATAAACCACCGTGGCTGTTAGCCTATTCTGCACGACGACCTGATTTTGAATTTCCCCAAATCCTGAAACCCGTTGGGCTCTTCTTCAGCCATGTCTGAGTCAACCAGCGCCAATACCGCGAAACCGAGCAGCAGCGTCAAGCTGGTACTTTTGGGAGAAGCGGCGGTGGGAAAGGTATGAGCGACCTCGGCAGTTTCCCCCCCCCCCTCCCCTCTCCTCCCCCCATTTTCTAGTTCTCCGGTTGTGGGACAAAAAAGTGACTCAGGGACTGACAATGGATGGCATGGGTCGTTTCGGGCTGGACAGTCGTCATTGGTGCTGCGATTTGTCAACAATGACTTTCAAGAGAACAAGGAGCCAACAATTGGAGGTAAGCATCCGACGTGTGGCGAGGTGCCCCCGACAGCCTCCCCGCGGTGTCACCGGAAGCTGATGTCATGGGGTTTCCCTCGGTTTCAGCGGCCTTTCTGACTCAAAAATGCTCCCTTCCGACGCGGACGATCAAATTCGAGATCTGGGATACCGCTGGTCAGGAGCGATTCGCCTCGCTTGCGCCCATGTACTACCGGAACGCCCAGGCGGCTTTGGTGGTTTACGATGTCACCAAGCCGTCCTCGCTCACCAAGGCCAAGCACTGGGTGGCTGAGCTCCAACGACAGGCTAGCCCCGGCATTGTCATCGCCCTCGTCGGCAACAAGCTGGACTTGACAAACGACGCGAACGAGGCGGCGGGCGAGGCGCAGCCCGAGGGGGAACACGAGTCATCGCCCGCCGACGGAGACGAAGCCACCACGGAAACCCAGGAGGAACCAGATGTCTCGAACGGAGACGCTCGGAAGGTGCCGACACGGGAGGCTAGCGCCTACGCGGAGGAAGAAGGCCTATTGTTCTTCGAAACCAGTGCCAAGACCGGCCACAACGTGGTCGACGTCTTCACCGCTATCGCCAATGCGATCCCGGAGAGCAGCTTAAAGAGCGGCCGCGGTGCCGGCGCAGGCACTGGACAGACCAGCCTGAGCGGTGGTCGCCCGGCCGAGGACTCGCGGGTCAACCTGGGAGAGCGCGGCGCAGCGACGGCCAAGGAAGGATGTGCATGCTGATACCAGATTGTTTTTCGAATGTGCTTGCTGCGATTTGCCTTTGTTCGTCTCTTTCTTACTGTTTTGCTTTTCCGATACAATATTAGGTTGATTACAGGTTAATGTGTCCATCCTATGGCGGTGGTAACAGAGACCGCTCTGGGAAGACTAGTACTACGATCTGAGCCCGCGTTTCTTGCGGGCGTCTGGAGAGTTTACTCTTGTTGATGGATGCGCTGCCAATGGTTGTTTTTCTCGGCTTATTCTTTTGTGCTGTTGGGCCAGGTAATCCTGTAGGGAATGAGGGAATGATTGGGGATGTTGTTGTACAGATGAGGGAAAAGGGTGAATTAGGCTTATGGTGGAAGCAATCAATCGACCGAAGATGCCAGCCGTGTATCCTCACGTACTGTCAATGGAGCCAGACTATAGCCGTCGTCCAGGGTTTGTAAGATCGATCTATCTATCTATGGAGTAGATAAAGCGATGCGATAGCGATAAGTTGGCGGGGAAGAACGTACGGGAAGGGCGAGACAGATCACGGGACCGGGCCACCCCTAACTAGGCCGGATCTGGAATAAGGCGGCCGGCTAAGCGAGAGCGCCGAGCCTCCGATCCCACAGCCGACCCAAGCGCAAATTGGGTCGCCTGCTTGCCCGGTATCTTCGATTTCAACCACCAACCTCACGACAAGGAAGGCCAGCAACCACCTCTCCTCCGCCACCCCAGCAGCACAGCCAGCAACCCGTCGCTCGTCTGCAACAATGGCTGCCATCAACAAGATCGCCCTTAACTCGCCCTCGAGGCAGAACCCCTCCGAGCTGGAGACCGCGATCGCCGGTGCTCTTTTCGACCTCGAGAGCAACACACAGGACCTGAAGGCCACCCTTCGGCCCCTGCAGTTCGTCTCTGCCCGTGAGGTAAGGACTGTTTTTGTGTGAGAGAGTGATATCCGCCAGCAGATCAGCAATTGTTCCAATCCGTGCGTCGTCGCCTTGTCCGGAAGAGGAGGATTTTTTTTTTGTTGCCGTCAACAATGGAATGGAAAAGCCGACTGTGTGTGTGTGTGTGTGTGTGTGTGGAATGCGGAGATAAGACATGAAGAACAAGGATCACGAATTACGACACCAACACTCCATGTTATGAGCTGGATGTGTTTTTTTGCGGATTTCTCTGTTCATCCCACACTGGAAATTTCGACACCGGGAGGAAATCGGCTCAACATGGGAACAATCGGAACAAGACATCGCGGACGAGAACGGTTCGACTAATCTGCTGCGCTGGATATCGCGAATACTTGCTTTTGCTCTTTTCTGCGATGTTGCTATCTCTCTGCACACTGGTATTGACGATTTCTTTTCGTGAATTTTGCAGGTTGAGGTTGGTCACGGCAAGAAGGCCGTCATCATCTTCGTCCCTGTCCCTCTTCTCCAGGGCTTCCACAAGATCCAGCAGCGGTATGGGATATCCCCCCTTTGTCTTTGCTTGTTTCACGCACACGCTCAAAACCCCGGATGTGCCAAGTGCGCATTGACGATGAGAATGATGCCCTCTGTTCTCTTGCCAAGACCCGGGAATGCGTGACCTACCGAAATCAGAACAACCCAACTAACAGCCTCCTCCAGCCTGACCCGTGAGCTCGAGAAGAAGTTCTCCGACCGCCACGTCCTCTTCGTTGCTCAGCGCCGCATCCTGCCCCGCCCCAAGCGCTCCGTCAACTCCCGCACCACCCAGAAGCAGAAGCGCCCTCGTTCCCGCACTCTGACCGCCGTCCACGACGCCATCCTCACCGACCTCGTCTACCCCGTCGAGATCGTCGGCAAGCGCATCCGCACCAAGGAGGACGGCTCCAAGACCCTCAAGGTCATCCTTGACGAGAAGGAGCGTGGTGGTGTTGACCACCGCCTCGACGCCTACGGCGAGGTCTACCGTCGGTTGACTGGCCGTGCTGTCGTCTTCGAGTTCCCCCAGGGTGGTGCCTCTGACTACTAGACCGCGAAATTCTTTTTTCCATAATGCATCTTCTTTTTTCAACTTTCATGAAAAGAAAAACCAACATGTTGTTTTAAAGAATCTGGTCTGGGAAAATCAGGATTGACAGGGAATTCAAATATGATGGCTGTGTTGTTGTGAGGACAACTTCTAAAAGATCCTTTTTTAAAAAAACGAAACATTATCTTAAATCTTCAACAACCTTTCATGCAGCCATTGCCATTACCATTGCCGTCGCCGTTGTCAATTGTCAATTGCCAACCAATCGGCTCGCCTCCCTCCCCCCGTATTTGGCTTAAGTAGATTGGAGGAATCTTGAATCTTAGCTTGGAGATCGGTGCCTTTCACTTCCCCATAAACCCCTACAATCTAAATCCTGGTAATAATAACACTATCTGGGGGAGAACCCCCAGACCCCCCTTTCTTTCAGCTTCCCAGTAACCGCAACCCCGAATCCAACAATACAAGAACCCCCAGCTACTTCACCCTCCACCGATACAGTACATCAGGAACCCCCAATTTCCAACCTCAGATATACGATAGAAGAGGATCTATAGTATATCGCTCGGGGTCCAAGTTCGGTCTCGAACTCAACCCAGCCCAGGACCCAGTCATCACAACCCAACGCTAGAGTTAGGTATTGGTTTGGGGGCCATGCATATATTGCATCTACTACTTAGCGACCCTGAGATTCTTGGCGGGTCCTGGGTGGAGTTTGAGCACTGAACCCGGTTTCTTTTGACACCGTAGCTTGGCTTGGATACATAGAGATATTACATCTACTTGTGATTCTAGGATTTTGAAAGGGCCCTTTATTTGGGTTTTTTGTTTATGCTTATGTTTGTGCGTCTTCTTCTTCTTCTTCTTTGGGGGTGGAATTAATGAGGGTTTGCAGGGTACGGATGAGCTATCGCTAGAGCTATCGCTATCGAGATAGAGATGGGGATCCTCTACTGTGGAGATCTAGATTGCACAGCACAGTTTGTACTAGATTGGGTGGGATACTTCTACCCTGAAGTGGTTTGATCAGTAAGCGGTGGTGGCACTTCCCAGGAGTGACTACTCACAGCGGCATATATATCCCGAGGTGGGATGGTATGTATGGACTGCACTCGACCGAACAATAACTCTCCATTTGCATGGAAATAATCAATGCATACTGGGTAAGAAGGGAAGTAGTGTTCGGTATTCACCTTACTTCGTCGCAAGTGCAAGTTCGGATGAATCAACAGTAGTATAGTCAGTATATCTACCCGTCTACACTCCCTACTCTACCACCACCACCCTCCTTAAAAAAACCTAAGAATCACCCCAAAACACTCGGATCAATTCTCCCCACCCCGAGCACCATCCAATACGCCAACTCCCTCTTGATCATCTCGCCCGCGGCACTGACGCCGGGCCGATCGATCTGGTTCTCCGAGTCCCACTCCATGCGCACGAACACTGGGATCTCCAGGACATCCTCGTCTGGTTGGAGCTGCTGTTGCTGCTGTTGCTGTTCTTGTTTCAGCTTCTCCTGCTCCGCCGCCCGGCCGGTCCAATCCGGTACCTTCCCGCCGAAACTGCTGGTGTCGCTGTCGCTGTCGCTGTCACTGTCTTTCCCAGTAGCAGCAGGTTTGCTCTGTGTTGTGCGCGAGTCCTGATTCCTGGAAAAGGGTTGCAGGGTCACACCACTACTGCCGGACGGCAACATCCCCGGTACCACCTCCAGCACCACGGTCGTCCAGTTGCGGCCCTTGTCCCACACTTTGCCGGCCTCGGCGACCTTCTCGAAAATCCCGAGGGGAGCTCCGGGTGCGGCCGCGGTGGCTGTGGCGGGTGCGGCACCGGAGCGGGAGGAGCGTTGGTCGGCTGTCGCATTGCTGCTGTTGGCAGTACCACCACCACCACCACCACCAGCTGCGGCAGTGGTATTGCCCTGCAGGGCCTCGTCCCACACGTCGCTGTTGGCGCCGATGTCGAACTGCGGACAGAGAATGGTGACCTTGGAGGCCACGCGGCCCGGGGTCACGGACGGGGTGGCCAGGGTGATGCGGACGGGGTCGAACATGTGATTCTTGAGGGTGAGGAGCAGCTGGGTGGGTCGCAGGGGCGGGAGGGCGTCGAGGTTCATGCCGGCAAGATGGCTGCCGCTACTACTACTGGTCACACCCGCCCCGGGTAGCGGGATCTGGCCCGCCGGCATCAACGGCCGCAGGGTCGGTAACGGGATGTAGCTGAGGGCGATCAGACGGATGCGGAACCGGGTGGACTGCGGCTTCTGCTCGGGCTTGACGAGGATGTGCTTGCACGACTTGCAGCGCTTGGCGCGCTTGGTGCGCAGCAGCGTCGCCAGCGGCAGCAGCTCCTCCACGAACCGCGCGTCCGGCGACTGGAAGACGCGCTGCTCGAGCGAGGCGAGTCCGTCCCAGCCGCACTCGTCCGCCGCCATGCGCTGGATGAGTCCGGCTTCCGCGTCGGCAGCCGGCGTCTTGAACCCCTCGCTCGCGGTCAGCGCCTCACGCATGACCGGCGGTTTTGTCTTGGGCTTCTTGCTGGCGCCACCGTAAAGGCTGCTGAGGCGGGACGAGGAGGTATACAGGGACATGATGCGGTTCAGAGCCCCGGGGGAGGAGAAGCCAGCCCCGAAGTCCACGCCGAGCGGATCGCTGGGCGAGGACGAGGTGGCCGCGATTTGGGTTTTGTAGAAGCCCTTGAGCGCGTGAAAGCGGGCGTCAGGGCCGAGTGGGGCGTTCGACTGGTCGGGCGAATCGTCGGGGCGTGCTTCGCCGGGCGCCGGGGGGAATTGCTCGTCGATGGAGGAGAAGGTGGACAGGGGCGACTTGAGGTCTGCAAATGTGCGCGACATCTGGCGCGAGCGGGAGGGGTTTGTGTCGGTCGCCGTCAGCTTGGCCAGCTGGGTGCGGATGTTGGTCGGTTTGTCGAACTTGATGCCGATGTCGAGCGTCGACCACATGCAGTATCCGCACGATAACACCCAGGGGCCTTGTTGACTGGTGCCGCCTCGGACGACGTTCTCGAGGGTATTAACCGCCAGCGGTGCGGTGCAGGCCGGGCAATTGAAGCAATTGCGTGCACACCTGCAGTCGTCAGTTTCTGGATTTGAAGAGGGAGTTGTCAGACATACCGGTTCCCCTCACTCTTCACCATACTGCTCGGAGTCTCGAACAGGCAGTTCGGACAGTACCAGCACACGATCTCCTCTGTGATGCATCGCGGACATTTGATCTGGTGGCAGTCCTCGCAGTAGAGGAGGTGTTCGGGGGGATAGAGGGAGAAGTTGGAACGAGGGGCGCGCGGATCGAAGGTTTGTTCGTCCTCGCTGTCGTCGAAGCGCGGCGGGGGTTTGGGCTGGTCGGGGTGATGGCTGTTGGCCTTCTGGGGGGATTCTCGCGAGCGGCGTTTCTTGGACGGATCGGGGACGGGGGTGTTGGCGCAGGGACAGGAGATGTATGCGTAAGGGAAAGGACGCGACATGGTGGGAGTTTAGGGATTTGGGAGGATCTATAGTAATGCTTGCATGCTGTGATAAGGTTAGTTGGGAAGATGCGACAATTAGGGGAAGCATACCTTGACTTCATTTATTGCAGCCCATCCACTGGAATATTGCAAACGAGTCGAACACTAGACTCAATCAGACGCAGCTATTCATAACCTGCTCATGATGTGGCTAAGATGCAGACAGCACACGAAGGAGTGATATAGAACAAAATAAAACGAGGGGAAACGCGAAACATCAACAGAGAGAGAGGAAAGTCCAGCAAAATGCGGAGGAGGGCCGATCTTCCGCGCCGACGTCACGTTCCGCCTCCGCCGTGACTTTTTGCCCGCCTTTCCTTTCCTCGAGGTGTGGGAGACCATCCATTCTCCAACAACCACCTCAGCCATCTCTCAATTCCTCGCAAAGAGAGCTGGGCCATCATGTCTCTACGCCAATTCTTACGACCAGTGGTGCGATCGCGGCTCCCCACCACCACAACACTCGCAACATCATTATGCCTCCCTCACCAGCGCAACTACGCCATGCAGACGCCCGGCAACCCGGTGCTGGAGATCTTCAACCGGCGGGTGAAGCACCTGCAAAAGGACCGGGCGGCGCAGAACGTCGACGAGAGCCGAAAGACCGATTACATCAAGGACGAAGTCGCCATGCGATTATGTGAACGATTGCTGGTGAGGCTCCCTGCCACAGAGCTACAGGCTTCAACCCCCCCCCCCCCCCCCCCCCAAAAGACCCAAACCCAAACCCCCTAACAAGAAACACAAATGAACAGGACATCAAACGCACCTTCCCGCAAGTCCTGGACCTGGGCGCGAACAGCTGCAACATCGCGCGCGCCCTAACCACACCCTTACCCGACGAGGCCTCCCCAACAGGCACCGCCGACCCCCTCGCCAGCCGCATCTCGCACCTAACCTGCATCGACACGAGCGCCGCATTACTGAACCGCGACATCTCCCTCGATTTCAACACCGCCCTCCCGATCACGCGGCAAGTCGTGCCCGACCTCGAAACCCTCCCGTACGCCGAGAACAGCTTCGACGCGGTGCTCTCCTCGCTGAGCATGCACTGGATCAACGACCTCCCCTCGCTGCTGGCGCAAGTCAACAAGATCCTCAAACCCGACGCGCCGTTCATCGCGGCCATGTTCGGCGGCGACACGCTGTTCGAGCTGCGCACGTCGCTGCAGCTCGCGGATCTGGAGCGGCGGGGCGGCGTGACCCCGCATGTATCCCCCTTGGCCGACGTGCGGGATGTCGGGGGTCTGTTGAATAAGGCTGGGTTCAAGATGTTGACGGTCGATGTGGAGGATATTGTGGTTGAGTTTCCGGATACGTTCAGCTTGATGACGGATCTGCAGGCCATGGGGGAGGGGAATGCGATTCTGCATCGCGAGATGGGCCCGTTGTCGCGCGAGGTGTTGTTGGCGAACGAGGCGATTTATCGGGAGTTGCATATGGAGGACGGGGCCCGGGGGGTGCCGGCCACGTTTCGGTTGATCTATATGATTGGGTGGAAGGAAGGGGAAGGGCAGGCGCAGCCGTTGGAGAGGGGTAGTGGGCAGTTGAATCTGAAGGATATTCTGGGGGGTGGGGAGTTTGGGCAGAAGTGATGGGCCCTTCCCGTTGCCAAAAGTGTATGATATAGTCCAGAGCAAAAAAGTAAAAGAGGCGCACAATATATACGGTAACCTTAGTAGTTGACCATGAGAGGGATACGAGGTATATCATCTATCTCCCACACACGAGAAAAAAAGTATAACCACACGAAAATGCAACGATTCGCACTCCCAAGAGCTCAAAGCTAGACCGTCCTCCGGTCCGTCATCACCCGCACAATCGACCCCGTCCCCACCAACTCCACCAACTTCTCATGCCAGCTCAACAGTACACTCATCTGCTGCCCGCCGCCGCCGCTCTCGCCGAGGTTACGGCCCTGGATCTGCGAGAAGCCCGTACTCTGCGGCGAGACCGATTTGCGGGGGGACTGGGCGCCGCCGGCGACGGGGGAGGCCATGCCTTTGTAGCTGCGGGAGACGAACGGATCAGCCAACGTCACTAAACATCCAAGCCAATCCACAGTCCAAAAGGCATCTAAACATCCAACCCACCCCACCCTCCGTTCTTCTCCTTGATAAAGGGTTGCGGGGAAAACCTACAGATACTTCATCAAACAATCGGCGCGCTCCGCCCCGCCGTCCGCGCCGGTGCACACCTCCTCCAGCACGCGGCTCATCTCCGCCTGCCGGATGCCCTGCAGCACCTCGGTGACGGCCGCCAGGTGGACCTCCTTGGCGCGCTCGTCGCCGCCCAGGGGCGCCGTGTCCAGCACGTGCCGCAGCGCCGCCGCCGGGTCCCCGCCGCGCAGCAGCTGGCGCACCTCGCCGGCCACCGCGGCGGCAGCGCTCGAGGTCGTCGCGGCCGGCAGGGTGGCGGGCAGCAGCGTGTCCATCGGGAAGTTGATCGAGGCGTCCGGGTCGAGGACGTCGATGTTGATTGTGCGGTAGTTGAGTTGGGCCATTTTTTTCGGTGGGGGGGTTGTTTTGGGTGGGAGTGGGAGATGGGGGGTTGGTGGTGGTGGTGGTGGTGGTGGTAGTTGGGGTGAGGAATTGGTTATTTGGATTGAGGAGTCAAGATGCGAGGGTTTTAGCTGGAATTGTGGGATTGTCTGTAGGCTTTGTAAGTAGGTGACGGATGTCGGTGGTGGGAGATTGGCAGAGGGAAGAGGCAGGCATCGTCATTACCCTGACGGCGATGGTGGTTCCGCGGGGAAAGGAGTTGGACACCGTGGTTGGGTCGGGGATGGCACGAACCTCAAATTGGGGTTGGATAGCTGATTGACAAGAGGCAAGCTCTGGTTATCAATGAAAATCTGCGAAAAACCACTATGCACAAAACAAAGGCGATAACGAAACACTGAGAGTGAGCTGGAGATGAGCGGGATCCGGAGAGTAGCAGGAGGGAGAGAAGGGGAACGGAACGGGCGAGGCAGGCGGGCAGGCGGGCGGGCACAGAAGTGGCGGTGCGGAGACACCCGCCGGCCTGACCGCCTGAGGCAGCAATTTCGTTGAAGTATACTAGGTACAGTACAAGTACGTATATACACACCCTCAATCCAATATTCGGTTCCATAGCTGAACTTAGGGTCTAGGTATCATAATTCTCTATAGTACAGTAGATATCGTAGTTGTAGTGGCAACGCTCAAACGCTCAAGAAAACCTCCCGCCCAAAGTACAAGTACACAATTTGCAAGCCACCTCATAGTCAAACATAGCAAGGTAAGAGTAGAAGCACAATCGGATGGCTGTACAAGGTTCGTAAAATTCATCAAGAGGTCGTGATGGTGATTGGAGGCACCGGGATTGGGGTAGGTGGTGCCGCAGGAGTTGGCTCTCGTTTGAGATCCTGCAACGACGTGGTGGCCGCCTCTTCGTCCGGCAAGGCCTCGGCCTCAGCACCAGCAGCAGGATCCGCGTCCCGGCGCCGGGAGAATGCGCGCTTCGTAGTCCGGGCTAGGGGCCGCACGGCGGATCTGACACTCGCGGCGAGCCACCCCATCGCCCGAGTGATGGGCTTCGTGACAAAGGTAATGCAGCGCACCGCGAAGTTCAGCGCGATCTCGCAGGGTCGGTCGGGGGTCAGGCGCAGCACCACCGCCCATGGCAGACAGCCCAGGGCGCAGGCGATGCAGATCGCCCATTGCACCCCGTTAAGCCTGGTGACACCGAAGGCCTCGCCGCCCACAAAGACGATCATGATCTGCCCGCCGACCATGATGCAGTTGATGCCGAGGAACCAGTAGTTGCGGAACATGCCCTCGAAGATGTTGAGCTTGTTGTCGAGTCGGCGGTTATTGAACTCGTTGAAGATCTGCATCCAGACGAACGTGTTGAACACGATCGTGTCCAGAACCAGTTGAGGGTCCTTGCTGCCCAGCTGGGAGCCGATGATGTGCTTCCCGCCGAAGTACAGCATGAAGGTGATGGCGAGCTGATAGAGGGCCTGGCCCAGGATCATCTTCCACATGATCACGGTGAACAGAGACGCACTCTTCGGGACCGGCTTGCGATCGAGGATCTTCTCCGTCGGCGCATCGGTCGCCAACGCGAGTGCTGCGAACGTGTCCATGATCAGGTTCACCCAGAGGAGCTGCACCGCATTCAGCACACTCTGGTTGTCGCTGCTGGACAGCGAGGACACAAAAGTCAGAATGACGGCAGTGATGTTGACGGTGATCTGGAACTGGAGAAACTTGGCCACCGCATCGTTGACGGCACGACCCCACGCAATCGCCGTGACAATTGACTTGAAGTTGTCGTCGAGCAGGACGATGGAACTGGCCTCTTTGGCCACTTCCGTGCCTGCAATGCCCATGGAAAAGCCAACATCAGCGGTCCGCAGCGCCGGTCCATCGTTGGTGCCATCTCCGGTCACAGCGACGGTTTCGCCGAGTTTCTTGAGTCGGGCCACCAGAATTCGTTTATCCTCGGGCGATGAGCGTGCCAGCACCTGAAGGCGAGGGATCACTCGATCCATCTCATCGTCGGACAGTTGCCGGAACTTGGGGCCTTCCATGACGATTCCCTCTTCGGTCTTGATGCCACACGAGGAAGCGATGGCGCTGGCCGTGACAAGATTGTCGCCAGTGACCATCTTGACCTGCACGCCAGCCGCATGACACTTGCGAATGGCCGCTGGGACTTCAGGCCGAAGGGGGTCCTGAATGCCAACCACCCCGATCCAGGTCATGTCCAGGAAGACATCGTCGAACAGCGCGGCCTCAGGCTCGTCTTCCATGCGTCTGACGCCGTGGGGAGGCCAGCTTGGGAAATCGCGATACGCCAGTCCAATAGTCCGTAGCGACTGACTGGCATACGATTCAATCAGTGCCAGCATCTCCTGCTTGTCGTGCTCGTGAAGCGAGTCGATGCCGAGCCCGTCTTTGCTGGAATCCTTCTCAGCAATGTGGGTCGCGCACGCACCCGCCATGATTTCGGCGGCGCCTTTCACAAGAAGGCGATAGCCGACACTGGGCTCGCGATAGACCACAGCCATGCACTTGCGCGCTGAATCGAAGGGGAAGAGCTGAACAATCTCCGCCGAAGCACGTTCGAGCGTCACGTCCATACCAAGATGGTCTTTAGCCAGTTGTAGCAAGGCTACTTCGGTCTTGCTGCCGATGAACTGCTTCTGTCCGTCCTTCTCTTCCTCAAAGGCGGTGGAGTTCAGCGCAACGCTTTTGGTGACCAGGTCACGCAGCCTGCCCGAGCTCTGTTTGAAGAGCTCGGCGGCCGTAGAGCCTGGAGCGCTGTCGTCCACATTCTGGCTGAAACTCCTCGTGGCGAGCGTCCCTGCGACCACTGTCATCTTGTTCTGCGTGAGTGTTCCTGTCTTGTCCGAGCAGATGACAGTTGCGTTGCCCATGGTCTCACAGGCTCGGAGAACGCGGACCAGATTGTTCTCCTTGACCATGCGGGTGGTAGCGAAGGCGAGAGCCAGGGTTACCGCAAGTGGAAGACCCTCTGCGATGCCGAATCAGTACGAGTTTCCGAGGGTTTGGACGAGGGCACTTACCAGGAATAGCAACGACAATAACCGTCACAGCCACGATAAGAATATCAACAAACTCTTTGCCCTTGACGGCGGGTGAGCCGCTGTTGTGCGGGAGGTCTGCGACGAAGCGAAAGAACAGGGCAAAGAATAGAATGATCGCAGCGCTGACAACCGTTAGCCAACAAGATTCAAAAGAAAAGGATCTTCGCTCTTACCCTGAGCCCAGCCAACCGATCCAGTTAGCAAGCTTGCCCAACTTGACCTGCAGCGGAGTCTGATCGTCCGAGTCCTGCAAGGACAGCAGTATCCGGCCATAAGTCGAGTAGGGCCCGACACTGGTCACCAGATAAGTGCCCACTCCCTCAAGCACCTTGCTGCCAGAGATCAGGAAAGGATCGAGTTTCTTCGTCGCCGTACCGGCCGCGAGGTGTCGGCCGACTTCATACCCGTCGGTCTTCTTCATCTGGTCCGATTCGCCGGTCGCAGAAGACTCGTCACATTTCACCCCGTGCCCGGAGATCAGCACCCCATCCGCAGGGATGGCGTCGCCCGGCTCGAGGTGCAGGACGTCTCCCACCGTGATGTCAAAGATGGAGACCATGGAGACCTTACCCGAGCGGACGGCCTTGACTTCTCGGTCATTGTTCTGCCGCAGTCAGTCGAGACGGAAAATAAATAAAAAAAAAAAGGGTTGGAACTTACTCTTTTGTTGAGTTTGGCAAACTGCCTCTCCTTCTGCCAATCATTTGCGGCCGTCACAATCGTGACGATCAAGATGGCCACACAGATCGCCACGCCTTCGATCCAGTCCACGCCGCTCCCCTCGCTGGTTGTCTCGTAGATACCGAGCGACAACGAGACGACGGCGGCGATGGTCAACAGGATGATAATCTTGTCGTTGTAAGCACGCCAGAACAAGGTCAGAAAGCCCGTCGACTTGCGCGCGGGCAGTCGATTCTGGCTGAAGACGCGAATGCGGTCCTGGAACTGTGCATCCGAGCCGGATGTCGTGTGGTGGGCAGATTGCTGCTCTTTCTCTTGCTGGTGGTGCTCATACTTCGTCGAGCCATACCCCGAAGCAGCAGCGGTGACATCTTCGAAACTCACCGACCCATCCAGCTGGGCCTCATCCACCGACAACCCAGAGGCCAGATCCGTGCGCAGGCCGCGTTCCAGCCCCGCGAGACCGCCCAGGGCCTGGAACGCGGCCAGCGACTTGGGGTTCTGCATCTTGTTGAGCTGGCCCGGCGAGAACGCGAACTTGTTGTCTTCGACGAGAAAGTCGCCCTCCGTCCGCGGATCGGGATTGAGCGCCTCAGACAGCGGGACATCATCGTAGGCCGTTGTTGTCTTGGTCGGCACGGCGGTCAGCTCCGAGTTGGCTCGGGATCGCACGGCCGTGTCGGCGCTGGAGATGGTCGAGTCCGCGCGGGGCCGCAGCGTCTCGCCGTCCAGGGAATGCGACGTCCTGGAGGGGTTGCTGTGCACCATGAGTCTGTCGGGGGAAAGAGCTGCCATCTCGGATGGCGTGGATGGACTCAGGTGTCCTGAGCCCGAGGAATGTGGACGTTGCTGCTGCTGCTGCTGCTACCATCGCTATCAACATATACTCCGACGATGAAGACGGTGAGGGGGGACAGCGGCAAAGCTTGCCGCCGTTGGCAACGTACCTCTGTATCTGAAACCCCGTATGGGTTTAGAAACCCCTCCTGACGATGTTCGTCTGAAGGCTGCATTAAAGAGATCGATGCAGACTCTGATTTGACAAGGCAGGTAGTGAAGCATGCATAGACAGAAACCAGGGGAATGGGTAAATTCGGAAGAGATCAAGGTGTTTATGCGGGCGAAATGCCTAAAAGTGGTTGTAGGGTCGGGTTTCCTTTATTGTTGTAGTAGTAAAAATGGGGGCCAACGCCCGGGTATAAGAAGAGGAAATCGGTAGAAAGGCTGTGCTGCGAATGGAACGTAATCAAAGAAAGGTGGTTCAGCACTGTGTGGGAGGGAGTACTTCTATGGATTAAGTTACTTGGTCCAGAACAACCCCCCGGGCATTGCTGAAGGCAATAGTCTCCGCCAATGCCTTTCGGAGACGGATGAAAGCGCTGGAGCGGGCCAAGGGAAGTCTAAACAACGGGAAGAGGGGCGCAGCAGCAGAGTGATCCATAGGAAGGGGGAGGGGAGGGGAGGGGGAGTGAATGAGGGGAGGAATTTTGGGTAGGTAGTAGATGATAGAGGATTGATTGAATGATGGATGGATGCGTCTCAGTCAGTCAGTCATTCTGCAGCTTTACACAGCCACCCTGCCTACCCTGCCGCCCTCCTATCACAACCCTTCTGGTGGAGGCCAACAATCCCTCTCGCGGCGGTTAATTCAATCAAATCCATGGCTACACCGATTCATTGGCACTTGCACTGGACTGGTATTGTAAATGATAAATTATTGAATATTGGCGTTCTTTTATTTTTCTCATTTTTTCTCCCCTTTATCTCCTCATCTCTCAGCCGCTGACCTCTTTGCCTCCCTCCCATTGCGCCGTCCATTTGCCGCTTGAAGTATCTTGGAAACAAGATCCAGGCAGGTGATTTTCTTCTCCCTCGCTTCAACAGCATGCTCAAAGAGCGGTTGATGATCTCATGCGTTTGGGATGATTGGAAGTGCCTGACTGCCAGCAAGGCGCTTTCACGAGCCCAACTGCTCCATGCCAAGTGCAACCGACCAGAGTTTCAGACCTGCTTCACCCACAAAGCAACCATCAGACCCCACGCAATCCAGCTCAACTTTCGTACTGCCATCGAGTTGTGCTCGGGGTGGTTTCTGTGCCACCGGCCACTAACACTCCCTTAGCGAAGTCCGTCTCCGCGGCGTCCGCCTGAGCTTAGGTTGGCGGACTCGCTAGCCGGAGGCGAAGCAAGGGTTTTGCGACGACAGAAATCGTGATATGTGGGGATGACTCTGAGTAGTAGCCAAATGCCAATCATGGCGTGGTCTTAGGTGACCGACACTAATCGAATATCGGAATAACCCCATGGATTCCGACGGAGATAAACTACAGCCTGGACCGGCCCAAGGGGAGGGGGGAGATGCTCGGTCAGAACTCTGACTTCGGAGCATCCACGAGCTGTGCCAAATCACCAATAGCTGCTGGACCGTCAGTCGCTATCTACCAGGGAGCCACTTACGGGATGACTCAATAGGCTTAACGAAGCGGTCGGTTTCTTGGCCTCCAGAACGCATCTCAAACTCTCCTGTGAAACCATGGGACTTGTCGCGTGCTCGTGTATGATTAAGATAATTGACATACGTCAGCCCAGGACCAAGTCCGTGGAAATCACGCAGAGACAGGAGACTGGCATATGGGTCCAAGCATCGCTGTTGTCTCATGCCTTTACGGATCCGATTGAACTTGTCCAGGCGACTTTGACTGCAATGTGTCGTGTCTGATGGGCACATGCTCGCCTTGGATAATCTTTTCGTATATCGGTTATTGAGGTAATGAGGCCAAGACCCTGAGGGAATAAATCGGGCGAAAGATCACCAGAGCTGTGGTTCCACATAATGATAGCACTGCCCCAAGGTATGTCGAACATGGCTTCTCCAGCTCAGTACTTGTGTGGCTGACCCAGTGTGCCAGACATAGGCTGTTGCCCGATGCTTGCCTCGTCAACGTCCATAGACGTGAACAGGCGCCCCTGTCTCTAATCGGTGGCTGGTGGTCGACTCTGGTGACAGGCGTCTAGCACCTTGCAACAACTCCTGGGATGACTTCACCGTGACTCGTGGCAATGAGCTGGGGACTTCCTCCAGGCTGAGCATCATGATGCCAGACATGAGTCGCTCCACAGTCACGGTGAGACACAGACCAAGGTGGCTGTGCGGATTGCATCGACTTGCTGTATTAGGCAGACCGAGGATCATGAGAGAGCCGGCTGAGGCTCATTCCTAGGTAAGGGGAGTTTGTCACCGTGAAGTTTGACTCAGATTGTCTGGAGCACGAACGATACCACTGTGTGCGATCCAAATTGCCAACCCCATTCGACAAACATGTGAAACACTTTTGGCCTTGCTTGTGGCTTGGTGCGTGTTAAGTTGCAGCGTCACACCGATTGAAGAGTACTATTGCTTGAAGCCATGACTTTGGCCGTCGTAGAGACTGTGATAGGGGAGGAGAGTCGGGAACCCCCTTCTTCCCCGTTTGTATTGCTGCGAAGTGAGATGCAAGCGGTGTCTGGAGTGTAGGATGGCAAGGCAATTGTGCAGGTGGTCGGGGTCGTGAGACTTGAGCACTGTTGAGCTGAACCACATCGACGAGTAGGCGGAAGATCCAGGCAGGAACATCCAGTCAACTGGTCAGACAAATCGCAATCGTAATGGCGAAGTGCGGATCGATCAAACTCCGCAATTCAAACCCGCTCGAAGGCAAAGCAGAAACAATGCACAAATCATGGCGGCGGAATTCACAAGAATGAATGCTCGCTCGCACAACTAATACGATGTAATGAAATGAACAAATCAGCAGTACCGATTCGGCCAAATCAAAGAACAACCAACGAAGAACGTCAGTTCAATGTTAATCTTATCGGCCGGGAGGGAGGAGGGGGGGGTCCGCCACCGGAAGCGGAAATCAACTTCCAATCAGCCAGTCGCGGTCCTGCAGAAAGGCGGGACCGTTGAAGCATAAAAAAATGCCGAGGCCCGTCCGTCGAAGTGAGGTCATTATACCGGGTACTGGTGTACATAAGACATAAGAAGTGGATAGAAGGTGTGTGTGTGTGTGTGGATCCTCGACGATTTTTTTTTGGAGCTTTCCCCTGATTGACCTACAATCCGGCTTAGAAATACAAAATGGTATAACATGAATTGCTTAACAATGTTCCAATTATCGGGGTCAATCCGCCATACTATAAGTTCCTGTTTAATCCCTCCGCATTACTGTCCGGTTCGGTACACAACACACTGCACATAAAACCTACCTTGGACACTACACTACTCCCTAATATCCCAGCCACACAATAATCCCTTCTCAAAATGGCACAAGCCAGCACCCCCGTCGACGTCACCCCGCTGGCGCAACCGCTGCAGTTCGAATTCTCGCAGCGCCGCGCGCCCAACCGCTTCCTCAAGGGGGCGATGAGCGAGCGCCTGTGCTCGTGGTCGGTCGAGAGCCTCGCCGCGCGCGGCGTCCCCTCGGACGAGCTGATCGAGGCCTACCGCGTCTGGGGCGCGGGCGAGATCGGCCTCCTCCTGACGGGCAACGTGATGATCGACCCGGCGCACCTCGAAGCCCCCGGCAACCTGATCATCCCCGCGGACGCCCCCTTCGAAGGGGAGCGCTTCGCGCGCTTCCAGCAGCTGGCCGCCGCGGCGAAATCGACTGGAAACTCGCTGCTCGTCGCGCAGGTCAGCCACCCGGGCCGCCAGACGCCGGCGGCCCTGCAGCCGCACCCGATCAGCGCCAGCGACGTGCAGCTGGAGGGCGTGGTGCTGGGCAGCACATTCGCGAAACCGCGCGCGGCCACCGCGGCCGACATCCAGCAGGTCATCGAGGGGTTCGCGCACGCGGCCGAGTACCTGGACAAAGCGGGCTATGACGGCATCCAGCTGCACGGCGCCCACGGGTACCTGCTGAGCCAGTTCCTGTCCGAGACGACCAACCGCCGCACCGACCGCTACGGCGGCTCCCTGGAGAACCGCATGCGCCTGATCCTGGAGATCCGCGCGGCGATCGCCCGGCGCGTGCGCCCGGAGTTCGTGGTCGGCATCAAGGTGAACAGTGTCGAGTTCCAGCCCAACGGCTTCCAGCCGGAGGAGGCGCGCCAGCTGTGTCGCACGCTGGAGGACCACCGGTTTGACTTTGTGGAGCTGTCCGGGGGCACCTACGAGAACTGGAAGATGGGCGATGACGAGAAGCGGGAGTCCACGAAGAAGCGCGAAGCTGTAAGCCTCCCCCCGCAACCAAGTATCCTGGATAAGTAACTCACGTACTGCGACAACAGTTCTTCATGGACTTCGCCCAGATGATCGTCTCCTCCCTCAGCAAGACCAAGTCCTACCTGACCGGCGGGTTCCGGACGGCGGAGGGCATGGTCCACGGCCTGGAGACGCTGGACGGTGTCGGTCTGGCGCGTCCCCTCTGCCAGGAACCGTACCTGTGCCGGGATATCTTGAGCGGCAAGGCAACCGGGGCGCTGCAGCAGGTCATCAACCCCTACGATTTCGGGCTGACGGCCGTGGCAGCGTGCATCCAGATCCGGCAGATGGGGCTGCGGCTGGCGCCGATCGACCTGAGCGACAAGCAGCGCGCCGACCAGCTGGTGCAGGCGGTGGTGGCCCGCACGCAGCAGAAGGGCAAGGACTTCTCGCAGGAGGCTGTGTGGCCTCCGCTGATTCCGGATTATAATGTGCCGTTGGCTGTGGAGGCTTAATTCTTTTCCCTGGACTAGACTAGACTACTCAAAGTACAGTACCTAATATGTAAATGAACTTTCGCAATGAGTATCCCAATCTCAAGTAAGTGTCACCATAACAACCCTCCCCTCCATGAGCTGAGAGAACCATCCAGTATCCCCTTCGAAAAACGAAAGACACCTGTAAACCCAGCAAAGACAAATCAACCTTCACAATCCGACCTAGCACAGAAAACCCCAAACCAACTGCGTAGTCAGTTAGAGTACTGTACCTTTAGATCACCAGTAAGCACTCTAACTTCCATAGTGAATCGCACGTGGGCCCCTTCCCTCCCCACCCACACTTACCCCTCCGCAGTCCGTCCCCAACCCTAATTCACATCCAGCTCTCGAGAAACTTAGACCGGAGATCCAACCCAACCAAACAGAAACCCCCAACATCCTGAGGGCTCAGCATCCCCCTTGCCACCTAGGCACAGTAACACCTCTAAATCCCCGTGGCTATGCACAACCCAACCGCCACACACCCCCCAACCTCGGAGAGAACAAACCGGCGATGTGGGGCGGGCACCAGACCAACGGGACCCGCACCGCCACACTGGTGGCCGCATCAGCCACCGTATGTACTGTACAGGATTGTTGCGCCACATCCATTTGTTATGTCATTCTCCCCGGGCATCAACCTAATCGGGTATACTACTGGGCGTATGAGCAAGTTAATGATAAAGCATAGTGGCAAGAATATGCCTGTCACCAGAAGTGAGAGTCGTGGCGCAGTTAGCAGAGCAGAGCGGAGCTCGCCTGATGGCAGGCTTGCTGGGCATCAGACGGCATGGTTACCACTGGGTGATGTGTAACTTGGGTACATGTACTCTCACACGGTGGCCACACACAGCCTTTACTGTACTGTGTGCATCAGGGTAAGGCCGCGAGGCTTCCACTCTGAGCTGATCTGAAAGTCATCAGAGGGCTGCATCATCACACGAAAGGCTGTGTTTTAGGACCAGGCAACATCGTTCTCCAGCTTAGGTGCTCAGCACTACAGCTGGGATCAGATCAGCCTCTAGTCAGACAGACCTGACAGGGATTATGGATCAATACCCAGCACAGCACAGCATAGCGCACTGTCGGCCTCACAGCATACGCATACAGCCGTTGACAACCCTCATTATCACGAGCAACACCTAAGCATCCGTAACCCCTAAGCCCGCAAACCGATTCCCCAACCCACAGAACCACTCCTTCTCTTTCCCGACCACCTCACCCTCCTCCTCCTCCTCCTCCTCCTCCTCCTCCTCCTCTCTCCCGGCACCACCACCACTCCCCCTCTTTCTTCCTCCCAAAACCTCCTCCATCGCCCACGCGATTCGCTCAGCCCCAAGCCTCGCGCCCTCCAAGTTCGCCGCCCCGGGCCCCAGGCGCAACGCCGCCAACCGGCCCGCCAGAAACAGCGGCACCCCATCGCACCACATCAGATCCTCCGTGACACACGGCAAGCCCTGCTTCGTCTCGACGGGATAGTCCCTGCGCATGCTGTCCAGCAACGACATCTCAGTAACGTCCGCCCGCATCCCCGTCGCGAAGTAGATGTAGTCGACGGGGGTCTCGGCCAGCTCGGGGATGGGCGGGTCGGTGGTGAGACGCCAGGTGCGGGTAGCAGCATCGTAGACGCGATCTGTGATGGTCGTGCGCGGGTGGATGGCCAGTCGTCCACCGCCGCCGCCGCCGCCGCGGGCCGCAGCGGCATGCTGCTTCAGGATCTTCTGGTAGCGCGGGGTGACGCTGCCGCCGCCGCGGGCCGCGGCGATCATGGCCAGACGCTCCTCGTCGGTGTCCGCCGACCAGAACCGGGCTTTTTCGAGGTTCTTGAATTTGCCCATCCAGTTGAGGGAGAGGTCGAAGTGTTTGACTTGTCGGTAGTTAGGGCCTGCACTTTGGAAGTGGGAGGGGAGGGGAGGGGGGAAGCAGAGTAAGGGTAGGTAGGGTTCTGGGTTAGAGGGGAACAGGGCTGGCTCACTCACCCTTCAAATCCGACCGCATCAGCAACCACACCTTCCTCACCCCCTTCCGAATCGCCATATCCGCCACCTGGGCGGAGGTCAACCCGCCGCCCACGACGACCACATGCGTGGCCTGGCGCTGCCGGATTTTGGCGTGGATGTTGGCGCTGGGGAACGCGCGGATCTCCGAGCTGTGGCAGGCGCCCTGCTGCTCGGTGGGCGTCAGCGCGAACGGGAGGATCTTCTGCGTGCCCGGCCCGATGGCGAGCACCACGGCGCGACTGTAGTGCTGCGTGCCGTCGGCGGCGGTCACCGTGAAGATTTTGGACGTGTCGGAGTGAGGCAGGTACCCGTACTGGATGTCGGTGACTTCGCTCTGGCGCACGAGCCCCGGGCGGTCGAGGCGGTACCGCGCGACGATGCTGGCGCAGTAGTCGGCGAAGAGGCCGGTGGACGGGGAGAAGTAGTCCTTGCGGTCCCGTTCGTCGATTTCGGGTTCGGTGGGGGGGTTGCTGGCCTTTATTAGTACTGTCCCCTCGCCCACAGGTCCAATATCAGGTAGAGAGAGGGATAGACCCTCCCCCGAAAAGAACTCCTTGGAAAGAGAGAAAAAGAAAAAAAAAAAAAAAAAAAAACTCACCCCCTCCCCCCCCTTAACTTCTTCCTCCGATGCTTACTCAACTCCTTCCCCACGCACCCGGAAATCTCCCACAAATCCCCCAGCCGGTCTTCTTCTTGCGAATACGCCAGCATCCCATCGCGGTCTCGCGGATCCACGTGGAAGAACATGGGGCTGCGCAGCTGCTCGATCTCCAGCGTCCGGAACGCGCGGTTCCACTTCTCCATCCACCGCGGACCAGAGCCGTCCAGCACGAGCGTGGAGTTTGCCCCCGGCCGAACGGTGTCATCCTCTTCTTCGGCCTCTTCTTCATCCTCATGCCCTGATACTGATGCATCCGAGGATACAGAGGAAGCAGAGGAAGAGGATGAGATAGATGACCCGGAAGAAACTAACCCGGGCACTGAGTTTGAACTCGAACCCTCGGAGGCAGAGCCAGCCCTACCCCTACCCCTAACCCTATGCCTGTGCCTGCCCTCCAACGGAGAAGTAGAAGCTAAGCTAGCACTGGCATTATTGACGTACCGCTCCGCCCGCACTCCCTTCCGCCGCCGCGCGTGCGCCTGCACCAACGCCATCCGGCCCCGGTGCTTGTTGATCCAGTGGTAGCGCTGGTGCTCGTCGTCGGTGAACATGGCCGAGGGCGTCTCTTCGCGGAGGCGGGCGGCGACGGCTAGGCCGCAGGGGCCGGCGCCGATGATGAGGACGGAGTGGAGGGGTTGCGGGTGGGTCATTTCTTTCGGGTTGGTTTCGGTTTGGTTTGGGCTGATTTGGTCTTGAGGACGTGATATCCTTATTCGATATCCTTATTCCTGGTTATTGTTGGAGGTATTCCTGTGGTTAGTCTGGTGTGGTGGTATTCGAGGATGATGATGGTGGGTTGATAGGTTGGTAGATAGGTTGGTAGGTCGGCAGGTGGTTTATATTCGGATTGCGAGGATAGGGTTAGCGTTCGAGGGGTATAAAGTCGAGTTTAGTAGGAGGATATAGTTGAAGGAATAGTTGAAGAGACAGATGAATGAAGACTCGACATGCAGGGTGAGTGGTTATCAATGGCAGTGGGTAGGTAGATACAGTGGAAGCCCTACTCCCCCGGGTACTCGATCCCAAGGTCCTTGTCCTTGTGCTGCATTGCTGAGCTCCCGTCCCCATCTTCATGTCGCGGCGTGGTGTCATCGCGGCGATCATGGGGACCTTGAAGGCGTATACGCCCCGAAAAAAACCGCAATTCTGATCTACGCCTTGGCTTTTGTGTAGTTCTTCAATTATGGATACGAATTTGCCTCTATAGTTCTTCCATTTAGTATGCAGTTAATCACTATAGCTCTTCCATGTGGGCAGAGTTAGTCACTATCAATCATAAGAAAGGCTGACTCAGTAGATCAATCGAATACATTACTCAAAACATTATTTAGCTCTTCGGCAGCACCTCACCCCCCTATTTATGCCACTTCTTCGTCTTCGGCTCCGCAGTCATCGCCCGCGATCGAGGCGCCCCGCCGCCCTCGCGTCGATGCCACGCATCCTGCGGCCAAACCCAGCCCCGGACGCGCTTGGCGTCCCGCCGCTCCCCAATCTGGGGCTCAGGAATCCATTTGTCCTTCCCATCAGGCAGAACCCGCTGCCGCGTCAACACCCCCGGCCCGCCCACATTGAGATGCGCCGACGGCTGCGACGGCAGGGGCACCGACTTCGAGAGCATGAGCAGAAAGTACAGCGCCATACTCGCCGTCATCGGCCCGTCGAGCTCATCGGATGATATATCGTAGTTTCCCAAAACGGGGGACTGACTTGCCAAGGAGCTGTCGCTGGACGGGGCCGGGGAATGCGGATACGTGCATCGGTCCATATGGTAGTCCGTCTCACGCGACTGGCCAGCGGCTAGCTTGGTAGGGATAGGCGCAGACAGCTCCAGATATCCAAAGTATGGCACATCGTCCCCCTCGTCGCAGCCCGCTCGCACGCAGACGAGCTCGATCTCGGTCAGGATGAAGCCGTACCGGCACGAATGCTCACGCATGCACCGCTGCAGATGCGCCAGACCGTTCAGATACTCCACCCGGCGGTGGGGCGCTTCATTGCGCATGCCCGTGTTCCACCGATCAAAGGTCTTAACGATCCCCACCATTCGCCCTCGCGGAAGGCCGGAGCTGGTCCGTTCGGTGTCGGAGGCGTAGTTGGCAAGGAAATGCGGGCCTCCGTAGTTTTTGTTGCCCGAAACCCGCGGGATGGGAGCATCGTAGAGCGTCAGGTGCTCAGGGCCCTGCGATACCGCCAGCGCCGCGTTCACGCGAGGAGCGTAGATGTCGCGTAGCACATTGATCAAGCCGGCTTCGGAGTCGGGAGACAGGTGCGAGCTGGGCAGTACGTTCACCGGCGTAAATTGTGACGGGATTGCGGTTTTGAGAAGCTTCGAGAGTCCATCCACTCGGTTGATGGTTCCCAGGGAGAACGACGACCAGCTGCGCAGGTTGCGAATATCCCACCAGAAGTAGTCGTGCAGCCCTCGTGTCGGGATCACGCTCACATTGCGAACGAGATTGACCGCTTGAGTGGGCGCTGTAAGGTATGAAAGTAACGTAGTCGATGCCCCTTCCATCGGGTGAAAAGATCCAACGGGCGAGCATTGAGCACTGGACGTTCGCGTGCAGCTGTAGGGTGAACCTGGCAGCATCAACGGCATCGGGACTTGAGCGGGAGGCCAGGTTCGGAGATGAGTTGGCTCAGCGGGTGAATGCTCAGCATAGGCTGGATACACTACGATGTTCGGGGTAACTGGCGTGATAGGCGCGGTGAGTGTACCCTGAGGCTGGACAGAGCACCTGGTAACTTGCCGGTAGGTTGAGCACCCATACCGGCCCACTTTCGCTTCATCGATGATAGATGTGGATACCGATCGAGAGTGGCCGCCAACGGCTTTGCGCTTGTACGATGGCGTCAGACTCACGGGAGATGACAGAGCTGGACCGTTCTGTGTCTTGTACACAGGTGGGACCGCAGCAGGCGATGATAATGCGAGATATTCCGACGCAGTGGCCCGCTGGCTAGAGCGCGAGGTGGGAATCGTTGGTAGAGCCCCCGGAGGGTTGCGTGTGTTGGAGAGCACACGACGCTGACGGGGCGGTCCATTGGTAGATGTTGGCTCAATCACTACATCCTGCGGCCTGATCTTGGGAAGCAGGGCAGGACCGTGGTGATGCCGCGGAGGTGAGCTGATGATAGGACTCGTCGCCACAGTAACAGCTGACCATGGTGAAGAACTATTAGAGTATAGAGAAGAGTCGGATGCGTGGCGGCTATGGCTCGCGCCGATAAATCCTTGCAACTGCATCGCAGGA